CCCTTTGTTAAAGGTGGTGGATACAATGTGGCTGTGGCTCTCAATTTCACACAGACAAAAATGGAAATGCCAAAAACTAAACAGAGCTCCATATCATCCTTCTTTACACGTCAGAGCAAAGGTAAGTACTTATTACTGGTTTTATAGGTTCAGGATCTCTGTGGTCTTAGAAAAATCAGCTGGTAAGCTGCGAAATTTCTACTGGCAAAAGTTTCCAATGAAAAGTCCTCTCCTTAAGTATCTAACAATGGATTGATGCTGTCTTTCTCACCTGCCACCTCAGATGCGCCAGTTGTATCAGGGACGAAAAGGAAAAGAGGATTTCAACTTGAAGAGCATGATGCTAAATGTTGTTTAAATCTGGAGTGGAAGAGAGAAATTGTATCTGAGTCCGAGGGGCCAGTGCTGCAGAAGCTGGATGAAACAAATATACTTCCTTTTCAAAACGCTCTGTCCTGTCAGCCTGAAAAAAAGCATTTTGAGGAGTCGAATCTACCACAAAGTAAGAGACACTTTGTGGAAACAAACTCTCAATTTCCAGATGACAGTTGTGTTTCTTCAGATGCAAGGAGTCATAACATAAATTCAACACAGAGTGACACAAACTTCATAGACACCTCCTCATTTCCAGGAGACAGTCAGCCCCCCCCACAAGCTTGGAGTCAAGACCCACTTTTCACCTTGACCCAATATACTGAGAGTGAATTTACCCAGAGCAGTCAGAAAACAAATCACTCAGAGATTATTCTTCCAGGTGAAGATACTTTTGAACTTCAGATAAATGGGCGGAAGAAAACATCCACCCAAAACTCTTTAACACCATCTTCTTCTTATTTAGAAGATGAAAAAGAAAACAGCAGATGTTTATCAAGTTGTCACTTACCATTTTCTCAAAATCAAACTCTTTCAACGCAAGAATTACTCAAATCAAAAACTGTGTCAGCTGGAAAGCAGACAATAAATCCTTTAGAAGAGAGTGTTGTTCCAAGTCCTATGTCATTGTTTAGGAAGAGGACGCTGAGCAGCTCTCCTCTTAAAAAACAAGGGAAAAGGCAGCAAAGCAGATGTGAAGATGAAAACAGTCTGTCTGCATTGTTCACACAAGACTCTGAAGGATTGAGGGTGATAGCACATAGACAATGGCAGCCCAGGAGTCCTCTCAAAGAGAGCAATGCAAGCACAAGGGCTGTAAGAAAATGTGTCCAGAGTACATTGTTGGCAGAGGAAGATGAAATGCTCTTTACTCAAGACTCTCAGGGAAATATGGTGATCAAACACTGATGGCAGCATTTTGATTTCCAGGGTGTCAGTGGTATCTTTGTTTTACTCCTAATAAATCTTGATCAACTTGAATGATTTGTTTTTTTTTCATCATAGAAAGTGAAAATGTGTCACTGTCTTCTTGCTTGATTGTACTTGAATGTATAAGTCAGGGGTCACCAACTATATTTACCGAGAGGTCAGACTTTTTTCTGGACAGACACTTTGGGGACCGGGCACTCAAAACTAATTACTGTATTTGATGTGTACTTACGAATTAATTCGCGAGTCAGTTTGGATGCTTTGGTGGTCTGAATTTGCCCATGGGCCACCAGTTGATGGTTTCAGCATAAATTGCTGCCTTGTAGTACTAACTCTCTCATGTCTGTTTGCCGTGCTCTAGTTTCATAATGTTGTTTTTTGGTCATCAATTCAACTAATCACACAGACAGACACAAAAAGTTATGGCAGGTTTGCTTTTATTTGAAAAAGATACATAATTTTGTCATATTGTGGTTATATAATAAAAAAACATTAGCAGTACTCCTGTGCCAGTGCTTGATACTACATCTTATTATAAAATACACAAATGTGTAAATAGACTAGGAGGTGCTTAGGATTATATATGACTCATCATTCTAAGGCAACAAAGTGTTTTATGTGTTATTTATCCATTGTCTTACTACTACAGTACTACATGACCACTGAGCCCTTGGCAAATCAAATGAACCAGTAAGTAGACTCAAGTGAAAGCTGATGGTGTTGCATTACAGTGATGCCACAGTTAGGATCAAAACATTTATGCAGCGAGTCAGTATTTAGAGCAGGGGTGGACAATTAGTTCCACAGAGGGTTGCTATGGCTGCAAGTTTTTATTACAACCTATCCCTTTTATTCCTTTTAATTCACAGGTGTTGAACATATACACAGTACTGTGCACACCTTGTTGATTTACTAAGCAATGGTGATTAATAGAAGTGAGGTGATGATGATGAGGGTCTAACTCAACCTGCAATTTCAGTTGGTTCTGTCACCAGTTTGGAACCATCCCAAATGGTCTTGAACTGTTCTGGGACTGGAAACTCCCTCTGTTAAAGAAGAGAGGTTGTGAATTAACACACACACGTATAGTGATTAAAACCAACCGTCCTTGTGTGGTACATCAGGCACTTACATAATCATCATCGTCTGTAGGTATCATGATGTTCATCTCTGAGCTTTTGGCACTGACAATGTCACAGTTCAGAGACTCTTTGCTCAGGTAAACCTGGCAGCCTTCTGTCTTGTTTATGGACATTGTGGGGACAGTGCCTACCACCTGGGACAGAAACACACAGTCACCAACATAAGGTTGTTTAAATTATTGGAGAAGCAAATCTGAATATCATGTTGGTTAAAGAGACAAATCCACCAGGCAGCTGCATTTAAAACGATTGAAGGTCATAACAACAATTAATCTACTATTGTAATTGTGTCACTCACCTGTAACTGAACAGACTTACAGTTGATGACCTCCACGATCCCAACCACATTCTCAAAAACCAGACCCAGCTTCTTACAGTTGTCTGTGAGAAAAGCAACACCTGAACATGAGTTACAGACGTGACCACAACACAACGTGAATGTTTGTTTGGCGTCAGCTCACCAATGATGATGGAGTTAATTTTCCCCTTGATCTGAAGAGTGCAGTTATTACAGTTGAATACGTAGACCACCTGCTTCAGCTCCGTCTCCTCGATCAGCAGGTCATGTTTCTGCTCAAAGTTTTCCTAAAAAAACAAAACAAAACAAAAAAACAATAGCAGAGGTTGAAGTCTGTCCCTATTACATATATAATAGTCCACAATATAGAATAAAACTAGTTGATATACATGTTTCACATACCACCCTCCACTTCTTCCCCTCCAGTTCTAGCAGTGCAGGTCTTTTCTGGATGGCTGTCTTTGATTTGGATTTTTCCACTGCAGAGGATTTGGTTTTGGTCGGTGCAGCTGGAGTTCGTAAATTCTGATTTTTGTGCGTCTTCTGGTCATCTGACACATGTTTCAAACCTGAAGATAAAGACAATGGATGCTTTTGTTTATGGTGACTAGAGTTCAAGAGTGAGGATTTTAAAAACTGGATTGTCCCTTAACCTTCACTTGGCATGCATTAAACATTGAAGTGATGAAGTGTCTTTGTTGAGTGGACCTACCTTTGGTGATGTTCATTCCCTGGTTGAGCTGAGCAAACAGCGCTGAGTGTGTAGCTGCTGCAGCCCCTGTGTGAGGCTGAGGGTCCTCATCCATGAAGACTGGAGGTGGCCCGGGGGGAGGAGGAGGAGGTGGTGGAGGACAGGTGGATTTAGGAGGGTCAACGACAGAAGGAGGCGCAATCGGGCCCTGAGGAGAAGAAATATAAAGACATTAGTTGTCAGGTGCTGTAGTTAGAAAAACATCCAGCAGAGGGAGTATTGCACCGTTAAGTCATGGTGTTTCTCATATCACTGTAGATGGAAAGGGAAAGATCATGCTGTGAAATTAAATATTAAAATTGTATTTAAAAGACAATCAGAAACAGCTAATTCTGTCCTTTATCTCTTCAGAAAATTATGATGTATGTGGTATAAGGATTCTCAAGATTCATTTTTAGTTCATGGATGTTCTACAGTAAATAATCTACAATTTTTGTCAAATGCAATTCCTAAAACCTATCACACAGTTATAACCCAGAGGTTTTCTATTTGCTGGTCTAGTTGGTTATAAACCCCAATTTCCTGTTTTGTAAAACGTGCTGCAGTCTTGTCCAAGACTTGTTTAGTCACTGTAACAATGAACTGTTAACACACGGTCAGATGCAGTTGTTCCCACTGTTTTTATACATTCTATGTTCTATATACGGTGTCTTGACGTTCCACTTCATTCTGTCCCTTGCTGTGTAAAGCCACTTCCTCATGTCAGCCTGAGTGTGAATGTGTCACTGGGGCCTGGTGTGAGCAGCAGATGATGGCTGCGTGGCTGGAGGAGCAGCCCTGCAGCATGTGTACACAGGCCCTTTGTGGAGTTTCATCTGTGAAGAAAAACCTCCATTCAAGTAAAACCCTGACGACCACCTGTTAGTGCCACACACTCCGTCCCTAACACACACACACACTTCAGCTGTATCGCCTGTCAACAGGGGCAACAGCTGACAGACACACACACCCACATAAACACACACACTCTTAGGTGAGGCTTTTGTCACAGAGAAAACACACGTTATTAGTGCAGTTGCTCCAAAAATAAATCTGTCAATGGATTGAAATATTTGGGAAACTTGCAAAGACTGATGTCACTTATACATACGCCTGCAATGCAACAGGAAAACAGTAATATTCACTTTGACTGTGGCAGGAAATCCTTTAGGGGCTAATTCATGAATTATCCCATCAGTTTTCATTAAGATAATGTAAATCAATTGATCTGAGGCTTAGACATTTGCAGGTTACTGGAAAGACCGGAAAGACTTGGAAATGTAACCTGTTTTAGGAACCAGTGTTGTAACAACACAGAGGATGCCATTAGCATGAAGATGTGGGACATTCCCGGTGATGTTGCAGCACTACTTACATTTCCAGCTATCGTCACAGAACCAAATTTATGTAGTAGGTATTTCTTTTATTTCTCATATTTTGTTTTTGTTTGTTTTTTCTAATGTGTGGTTTTGTGTGAGCAGTACAGCCAAATGTCCTTGAGTGAACAAAAAGGAGGAGGTCAAGTGGCCTCTAAGGCTCTGGCATGGATCCATCAAAGTATCTGGGATCTGCTGAGAGTAAAGGTGGAGGCATCCATAAAAAGCACCAAGTGTGGGAGTCACAGGAGTTCTGTGGAGAACTACGTGGGTGCAGCCACTGAGGGAGAAGTTCATTCACTCCATCATTCATTCATTCATACTCTACGGGTGGCTTATGTAACCAGTCTCTCATAACTAAAAATGGAAGTGTGCACAAAAATAAGTCCTTTTGAGCTCTGATGTAAAAATATCAAGGCCTGTGAATGGAAACTACGCCAAAGTAATAAAAAATAGTATTTTGTTTTAGGATTTCTTGTGATCAGGCTGCTGAGTTCAGTATAGAGTTCTATAGCGTCATCCTCCATGGCTGTATGTAAACCAGTGACATTGCTTTGTAGCAACAGCGTTAACTTTGTTATTAAATCATGCAGCGACAAACCCTCTGTACTCACCGTTTTGCTCCACACCAGTCCAGTTGTGTGGTGTTGTTTGATGAAAGACTGCATGTCGTTCCAGATGGACAGGTAGGACTGAACCCAGTCCACATGACGCCTGTCACTGGATGATAGTGATAGTTGACAGATGACAGATATTGTAGTGTATTACACTGTGAAGTACTTTGGCTAGCTGTGTGACCAACAGGGGCCAGCTGGTTAAACTTTACCTAAGCCATATGCTTAACATATCATTCCAAAAGTAATGCAACATTTGTTCCCTGTACTTATTATAGTGAGTTATAGTCGATTTACAAATAACTGGGACAAATGAAACCTATGTTGATGCAAATGTTGCTTTTTTAGTGGTACTGTCAGGCAGTGCTGTGTTTAAATAGGTTAAGTGGTGTTCATCATTTTCTGAACATGGTCTTGTAACAACAACAAAATAATCCTATCCCTATATAATGTTTCAGAGGAGTTTTATATTTACGTCTCCTTGAAGTCCTTTAGAACTCTGTTGGTGTAGAAGGTGGCAGCGTCGTTCATCTCCTTCACGTAGGGGCCCGGCTTTGGACTCTAGAGAGAAGGATTAGAGTTTGTCAGGAACTCCCTTATCTTACTGTCACTGTGTCATCATGTTGATACACATCATCATGGGGACTGTGTGGTTCGTTACCACAGCAACCCAGCCGAGAGCAGGGATGCTCTCACTGATGGCTGACAGGTGGTTGAAGAGGCTGCTGCCGCGGTTTCGCTCTCTGAAATTCTGAATCTCCTGGATGTGGTCGCAGATTGGTTTCAGCAGATCGTGGAACTCTGTCTACAGGACACAGAAACGAAGCACAGCTTCAGAATCAACTGTTTCAGGAGTTTGACTGCTTCTTATTAGTTGTGGATCAGAAACAGAGTCCTATAACCATAATCATATTTGTATTTTTCTACACACAAGTCCAATTTCAGATAAATGCGATTTCTCTCAGCATCCACGCTCTGCTGCTCGTCAACGTGGTTTTATTAGCCATGAGCCTTTTTCTGTTGTAACTCCCAGATCACAGCTCCAGTAAAACCCAACTCCCAGCTTCTCCATCTCTCTATTCCGCCAAACATTCCTTTGTTCACGGGGAGATCCCTCTGTCCTTGTAAGGCATACTGCTCCTCCACTGTTTACAGTTTACATATCACACATGTGCCTGCACACACACATAAATCTGGAAACACACTGTTTCACTGGAGAACTGTCGTAGCAGCCTCCTCGTTTTGATCTGCTGTGAACTGAATGCTATGTGAAACATTTACAGCCAATGAACTGATTGATGGAATTGTTTCTCTGTGTAAACAGGGAAGTTGGAGAAGACATGTGGTTTCTCCACACTGTATTGATCTGTTTATATATATATATTTATAATAGCTACATTTTTACACAATTTGTATTTACTGTATATTAAAAATATTAAAATGCTCTAAGCCTAGAAAATAAATCTCAAAATACATAAGAAGTTCACATTATTTAACACCAGTGAATGGGAGTAAAACTGCAGAAAATGTGTTGGGAAGACAGCGGAAAATGAGGTGAAAACTTAATTAACCTGAAAAAAAATGAACTCTTTCCTGAATTCTCCTGAAACTGATTACACATATATAGACCAGTCAAAACCTTTTAGAGCATAAGAAGTGTTCAGATGTTGTTAATTAAACATACATGGAGTGTATATCTCCTTCAGCTAATGTATGAAGAAACACAGAGACAGGGGTGCACTTCATCATGGTTCTTGGATAAATTCTTCCTTCAATCAGACCCACATGATCTCCATCAGCACAGACAGAGCGTCCTTTCTCTGCTCCTGCAGATGCTTTCATTCTCACTAAACCGCTGTATGTCTGTGACCAAAACACATTTTCCCAACTATGACATGTAAGGTAGGGTCATCTTTGGGGTTTGAGGATGTGGCAAAAATACCTTTTGTTTACATGTAAACCATACAAATTCAACAAAGGACATTTATAATTCAAGGCAGGGGACATACCACTGACTGTCTAGCTGTAAGGCAATAGGTCCAACCACTGTGACACTATCATCACCTTTTTGACTAAGAATAAATGTAACTCCATGATGGTATTTGTGTATCAAAGCATCTCTCCCTTCCAGAGATTTGACCAATGACTAGGTGAGATGTAAGTGCAATTATTCTTATTGTGCTTTAGTGGCTGAGTCAAAGCAACAGCTGGAATCTATTTACCATGTGAGACCACAAATTCAGAATGTGGATAAGATGGAACTAAAGAAAGCAAATGATAGAAAATGAGATGATGAAATGATAAGAAGTAAAAAGTCAAAGATTTTCAGTTCAGTGTGAAACAAAGACTCATCTTTGAGCTCCTGTATAAATAATAATCCTAAAATCCTAATGATGCCAGAATACACACACACACACACACTGAGGGTTGAGTCAACAAACCAATCAGACGTCACAAAGGAAGAAAAAAATTAGGCTCACTTGGTTAAGTACCAGGGAAATTCTCTCTGTCTCTCTCTCTCTCTCCCTCTCTCTCTCCTTCAAACACACACACACACACACACACACACACACACACACTGACAACAGACTCAAATATAGAACATGCCCATAAAAAGTCAGACAGCACAACAGAGTCGTGCTGGAGAGAAAGACCAGAAGTTTCTGTGCTGTGTGTGTGTGTGTGTAGGTGAGCAGGAAAAGTTAGGGGGGTGGATGTGAGACGGGGGGGTGTGGGTATCAGACGACTGAGTATCAATCACACTTTTCCTCTTATCCTGATTTGTACTAAAGGCTACAGAAATAGCCAACAAATGAGGGAAGTTAACAGTGTTTGCATGTGTGTATTCAGATGTTTGTGGGTCACGTTGATTGTGTAGTGGGGAAATCTAATGTCCTCACTTTGCCTTAAGAAACTCTGAAACATCTGACTCTGGGTTTTCCTGTTTCCCACATAGAGACTGATATCACATTTTTTTAAATTCAATAAATCTGAAATATATAGATAGGGAGAACCAATGACCTAAATCAAGGCGTTCCCAGGTTTTGCTTTTCATTTTCCCACTCGCATGGAATTCTGTCCTCACCTCTCTCTCTCATTCTCTTTGCAAAGCCCTCGTTCTTTCCTTGTTTGCATTTCTGACAATCACTGAACACTCCTTTTATCAACTCCCAACCAATGACCTGACAGACAGCAAGTAATCACTTCCTGGTGGGCAGTGTGGTCCCTGTGGAAAACACAGACACACACAAACTATCTGTCTCTCTATCTGTCTCTCTCTCTCCCACCCTCTCTTCACTCTCTAAGTGAACATGTTGGGAATGTGTTGTATTAGCATTTTCTTAGTCAAAGAGCAGAGTAATCCCTCTGTGAACAGACAGCCCTGCTCTCAGCAGGAGGGGAGGGGGGTGCACAGAACTGTGACAGTTCATGTGTCCGTCATTTGTGGTAAAAACGTATGTTGTATTAAATATGACGCGTGACAAGAGATGTTTGAACCTGGGACAGACTCGTGGTCTGGTGCAGACCTGACAGAAGGCAGACTCTGGTCTAGATCTATTTTACTACTACATGTTTGTGTGTGTGTAGTATTTCAGTGATAAAGGACCTTTATCAAGATTTGAATAGCTGGATGCTGCAGTTCATGGTTAGCACCACCTGTTGTTTAGCATGTTTAACTCATGACATGGTCACACATCACATCAGTGTTCCTCTGTACCTGTGCTGGTTCCTGGTGTGTTGAGACAATTTGCAGGAAATTCTTCAGAGTCAGCAGAGAACTATTCACCAACTCTGCCTGTGGACCACAAACAAGAAAAGATTAGGTTTGCATTAGATTCACAGAAACGTCACAGATGTGAATAGAGTGTATTTATGCACTACCACTGCCAGTAAGTCTGTGTTGCATTTACAAAAGCAAGTATACACAACACACAGAGTTCAGGTTGGTCCCAGCCAACTGTGTCCAGATCTCCACTTGTTAACCAAGGGAACCACCAGGAAGACTTTTCCCATAAAAGGAGCTCTGCAATCTCAGAGAAACCTCCTCTGGCTCTCACTCATCACACACTTACACAGTGATGGGACACAGACGCCGGAATCTTTTTAAGGTAGAGACACAAGAATACAATCTACTTTTTAACATTTCTGGATAAAACCCTGATAATTCTTTTCAGGCAGGCCCTAACTCCTTGCTTTTCAAGGAACCTCCCAGGATGCTGGATTTATTTCAAAACTGTAACACAGCTATTTATTATCATCATCATAAAGTACAGCCCTGGGGGAGAACAGGTCATTACTAAATAGGAAAGGGTCTTTGACCAGCAGTTTGATGAATGAACACAAAGCCAGAGTTCACACGCACAAAGACACACACACATAATCATACTGCCTCGTATCAAAGACCTGCCTACATATGAATCACTCTTCTTCCATAATTAGGTTCATTAAAAAGTTGGTCTTAAAAATCTGCATCCAGCTGCAGAAACACATCTAATCATCTGGTTACAGTACCAAGTCTTTAAAACAATTAATTAATTTGATTAATTATGAATCAGAATGTAAACATGGTTTAAGTTACCTTGTTCATGTTTACGAATTTTCTAACCATATTTAAAATAAACAATACGTGGACTAAAGAAACACCTCCTTGTATAGTTGGTTGCCGGGCAGATTTGTGGAACTGCAGCAGCAGCTGTGGTGACATCTGTCTCCAACAGCTGCTGCTGCATGTACATGTCTGAGTATGTGCAGCAGGACAGGTGTGTGTGTGTGTGTGTGAAACAGATTCCTAATTTTTCAGTAGACTTTTGTGTGGAATAGACGCTGGGTTCACTCACATGTTTCTCCACGTCGTTTCCTATGGCTCTGCTGTGCTTGAGGTAGTCGGACACTGGACCCTTCAACAGCACGTCGAAGGCCTCCACACACTGAGACTTGCCTAAATGACAGCGAGATGATAATTAGTTCTGATGCTCAAGTACAGGTCCAGCCAACCTCCGTTCTCCTCCTCTGAGTTACGTGGTATTGCAGCATACACTTGCCTCCATCGATGCCGTTGACACAGTCCCCGTTAGCTAGGCCGCTAGAGGTCTGCATGTTAACAGACAGCTGCTCCAGACGGGTCACTGCCCGCTCCAGACGCTCCATTAAACCTTCCATGGTCACGAACCTAGAAAACAAAAGTGGGGATTATTTTTTGGGACTGTGGTCATGATGATGATGAGGTCATCAGTCTGGATAATGAGGATGTCCATCTTTTCCAATCATGCTGCTGCTAATTATCAGAACACTGGCCCAAATTAAAGTCCTCACTGGAGGAAAGTCTGTGTCTGAGCAGTCTGACCCTCTAACACAGGAACGGCCTCTGTAAGGAATGATCACATGACCACATCACAATGTGCAAAGACAGGTCAATTATTGTCACAGAAAGGGTGAAGTGGAGGGAGATAAGTACGAGACGGAGCCTAGCCGGTTCTGAAGGTGTAGTGCCAGGACATAGACCTGTACTTGAAGTAATGGTGTGTACTGGAAAATAAGGCTGCAACTGAAATCAATATTTAACATGAGAAAACATTTTCATGAGTTTAAGATTTCAATAATTAATTTGAGCTCTTTTTAATTGAACTTGCCAATCAAATAAGTACAGTCAGTATACAAGCTAACAAGTCAGGAATTGACCCCACAGCCCTCCAGGTCTAAGACAAATGTATTACCTACTCAGCAACAGCCACCTGATGGCCATGATGTACACTGTCTATAGACATTGGATTCATAGATTATTTTTTATTTTCAGATTACTAACAAACCTCATTCATTTGGTATGTGAAAAAACAATCTGCTGTTGTCGTCTGACTTTAAGCTAGCAGCCCAGAGAACACAGAGTTAAACAGCTCCATCTTGGACCGGGTCGATCCTTACGACTTTCCCTCACCATGAGGCAGAGCAGGCCTGTTTCCAATATTTATTAGTCAGCAGAGTGGAATTCAATCCACTGCTGTTTACACAAACTATTGCTAGGTAACCAGCACTTCCTAATCTGACACCTGTTACCTGGGGGAACCACATATAGTGCAGTGTGATATCGGCTGTAGTTCTTTTTTTTTATTTGGATTCTCATCATCCATGAGAAAACAAACAAACCAAAAGGCTCTGAGTGGATTTGGCAGTTGCTGCGTTGACAGAATTGTACACTCTGTCTGTAATCTTTGGAAATGATGTTCAGTAATTATGTGCCATGAGCAGCAAACATGTCTTGATGGGCGTCATCGACTCATCTCTCTGGATAATTCTCTGACTGGTGCCAGATGCCTGTCGCAGCACTCAGCTGCTATTTCTGCTCTCTGGGTCACAGCAGCTCACAGCCCAGACCTGGGACCTGGAGCCAGCAGCAAGTCGGATTATGTTCAAACCAAAGCAGTCGACACTGCTCCCGGAAATGTTTGTGGAATGAATACATTCAGATACAGGGTATTGTTTGAACAGTGGTAAAAAGTGAAACCAATAAATCATCAGAGAGTGGAAGAAAGAAATGTTTTTAATGTATGTAGTAGATGAACCAATTTGTCATTAACAAAATATATAAATTACAAAAAAAGAGCAGGCATCTACTCTAATTGACTGATTTATTTGTATGTGTTGTAGCTAAATGCTAACTGGATTAATGGATTAATGAAGTAAACACGTGGTGTTCAATGGAAAATAAAAAAGGACACTTGTTGTTGCAGCTCTGTGGTGAATTCCTCACATTAAAACTGAGGCCATAGCAGCAACAAGTGCAAAACACTTCATCACTGTCTCACTCAGTAACAAACCAGACGGCAGGAACAGTTGGCATTCACACTGAGTGAATGTATTGTAAAGCAGCCAAAATCCATGGGGATGCAAAGACATTACCCACAAATGTATTCATTCCTGCACATCAAGTGTCAGAGCAGCAGCAGCTGTGGTCAAAGAAACAGAACCACATTCAAAGTAGATCATATTTGACCTCTGCTGATTTTCCCCCCAGCAGTTGTTAGTGTTTTTAGGGGTTAAAGTACTGGACACATTCCTCCTCTTGTTGTTCCAGACAGGTGGGTCTCAGCATCTGTCACATAAAGACCCCAGACCAACAGCTGAGGGGGCACACATGCTCCTTTCTGACCTGCGTGTGTCTCCTGAACCCGGTTGCCTGCTATCTGATCTGAGGGGCTATATTGGGCCAAAGCCTCGGGTTTGCTGCTGTGGGCCAACTGTAAGACAGATCTCAGTTCATCTGGCAGGATTAATGTAGAACATTAATCGGATAAAGTACATTTCTGTCATTTCTGACCAATTTTATCAGCAAAGTCATAGAGAAAATAAGTCCTTACAAGTCACTTTATTCCAAGAAAAATATCAAGAGAGTAAAAAATGTACTGAAGTACTGCAGTAAACATAAGAAATTAATGCATTTATTTCCAGTTAAGATTTCTGCTGAGCCCCATTTTATACTGGCTTTAAGATAATCTATACAACACAACGGTAAATGGATCACACCGTTTAGTTTCTGGTCTAGTTTGAGTAGTTTGTTAAACTAAAATATTTGTTACATGTCCAAGGCAGGAGGGATGGGCTAAGAGCCCCTAAAAGTGTCAGACATCTGCTTATATAATCTCCTGCTGCTCTTAGGAAATAAGGATGAAATTATAAGTCCATTTAAAATATCACCGCAACTTAATTCAGACTGCCAGCCACCGTTTGAGAAACACTGCTATAACCCAATTTCTAAGACGGATGTGTTGTTTGTTAAGAAGCACTTTTTAATTGTCGACTTATGGGTTGTATGTCATCATACAGACTGCCTCAGGATGATCACCGCTGCTAATGCCGCATAACGTCCGACGTTAACCGACCACCACATCATAAACAACTTTAAAACACTTCAACGAGCTGGACACCATCTTTCCACTGCGCTCCTCTCCTGTGCCAACTCTCATGGCGCACAGGACGCATGTGAGGATGACTTTGTTTGGACAGAAACGGCATCAGCGCAGTTCTCCTTCTCCTACGCCCCTCCCTGAATTCAGCTAAACTTGACTTTCAATAAAAACTAATCAGCGTAGCCTTAACTTACCTCCCTCCTCTGGTCCGCAGTGAATTTAGATCGGGATGTTTTCTTGTGTCTGTCAGTGTCCGAGGGCGGATTTTCTGCTGTGGGCTGTGGCCGTGCGTGCGCTCCCCTCTCTGCCCCGTCACTCAGCTGCTCTCAGCACCGGGAGTCTTCCGGGATGTCCTAATTAAGAGAAACGGTGAACCTGAGATCAGACACGGAGCAGAGATGAGGACCGTGACTCAGTGGCGCGACTCGTCTGTGGACCGACGGACATTTACCTCAGAGCCAATATGACAGTCTGAGAGAGCACTGCTAAAAATAGATCACTGATAGGGGCAAAGACTGTAGGACCGGGACAACAGAGCATCATCATCATTATCATCATCATTATCATCATCATCAACATCAATAACATCGTCATCACTGAAAGCATCATGATTGACAATATTATTCTAATCATCATCATCAACGTCATTAATTAATTAATATTGTTAAATTAGTTAATGTTCTAAAAATCACAAAAAACATTCACCGTAGTACTTCCCAATACAAACTCTTTATTTGAAGTCCAAACTTTTCCAACTTTGCCAGCACAATAAACTGCAGTAAAAACGGTACTCACTGGCGTTCACAAAGTGAGACGGTGCATTTTAATGGCGTTAAAGTCACGTCCTGATAAACTGTCGATGTACTGTTATGGTGGCGGTATAAATTACGATTTTAAAGCTGCATATCCCGAAAGCACCTGCTTACAACTTGTTGCTACCCAGTTGAAAAAACGTCAGGGTTCATTGCGGTGGAGTTTGCAATGCAAAGTATATGCTTTTACAGTTTGGACGTTTTCTTCACATGTTATATGTTATAATACTATATTTCAATCTACAAATCAATTAACACGTCGAGGCTTCAACATGGCAGCTTTAGCGCGATAAAACGCCAGCCGCATTTTCCTTAAGCCTACATGATACAGTCCTTTCCTATGTTGTTATAACAGTTTAGCTAGTCGTTTGACTGTCGGGATGTTGACCTAACGTCGAGCTGTCTGCAATGTAGCCCTCTTGATTAAACGAATAATTGCAGTTTAGTCAAAGTTTTATAAACATACTTACCAAGGCAACTGGAGAAAACTCTTTGGAAATTCGTACCGCCGTTAACGGTCGAGGTGGTCAGATGGAGTGCGCTGATTGGTCTGTTTGAAATTTAGGCGCGTTACCATCAAATGCACTATCGATGGAGGTGCTTTTGTAAACCTCTGAACAAAAGCAGTTACCCTCGACCACAGAAGCTTCCAATGTCTTGTTCTGTCGCCCCACTCTCTCTAACATATGAAGTCACACTTTGAAAACATTTTAAAGGGAAATTGTTAATGTAATTCATGTATAGTGAAACAGACAGGTTCTCTGTAATGTTAACTCTTGTGATTCCAGACTGTCAGTGAACGCATGTATATAGGTAGGTCTGTGATTGGGTGCGAGTGAATCTGTGTGTATGTGACGGGGTGAGGAGCCAATGGAAGGAAAGAAGAGCAGGTAGAAGAGTTATTATTATGTGGCGTAGTTACGGCCGACAGTAACTGTTAAGGTTTTTCAATAAAATACCTGTCTGAGACGAACGCCTCACCGTCTGTTTTTTTAAAACGTCTTTATTAACATACATATATTATCATATCTGAAAAATTAGCTTGTAGCTGTCATAAATATTAAAGTATTTGTCTGTTATTAACACCAAAGTACATAAATTTGACAGCTACAAAGTATATATTTAAATAAATGCAAGAATCACTTCTTGTTGTAAATATGGCATGTTTCTGTTGTCAGCACCCCAGCGCGTATATTTATCTGTGAAAGACTATTCTTTTGGGGAATTAAATGCAAAAATCACGGTACTGAATGTTAATAAATATCACAGCAAGGCAATGTATTTTATCAAGACAAAAAATGGTAAAAGTACTGTACTCTCCTGATTTACTAATTTACGGTGATTCATTGTTATATAAACAGTGTGAAACTGTTTTAGAGTTTACAGATTTTTACTGTCATGGTTTCACATGTATTCACCGTATAATTTACAGACATTTTTAACAGTGTGGCGTCCAGTGACAACATCATTATAGCGATCAACATCATCACCACAGCATCACACCATCAGTATCACAGCATGACCGCTACAACACTATGATAAGAATAACCAAATTCTAAGAAAAATAAGTGAGTGTGGTAACCAGCCAGAATCTGCCCCCTCCCAAATTTCCCCAAACTGGAGTTCCCCTCTTACAAGACCCCCCTCACATAATAACGCACAAAAACAACCCCCAGTCTCACTGTCACAGTTCTGAGATTAATCTGAATGTACTAATGGAACATTTGACATGATTTATCTCTGTGCCGTGTCTTCTGATGTGTCTCTATGGTTTTATGCAAACAAAACTGAATTCATTTGGATTGTTCTCCTTGATAACACTGTTGTGAATGAACTGAGTCCATTTGCCGATTTTCAAAATATTTTCATGAATTATACATTTCTGTGGCCAATAATCCACACTGGGTGTTGGTGTTTTTAATTATTCAGATTTATGTATTTGACCTGATCATTTCTTGTTTACTGGTCTAAAAGTCTATTGACATGAGTTAAAGCACCTGCTGATCTCACCCATCAGGCCTTGCTGTATCCATGCTGTGTCATGGTCACACACACACATACACACACACTCTCTTACACAGTGTTCTCAGTTTCATGTTTCATCGGGGACCAAAAATAATCCCTGCGTTCAGAAGTGAGACCAATGGCAGCAGCCAGCCTTGTTGGAACATGACTGACTGATAAGAGACTAAATGAATCATTGATGAAGTGAGTCTGATGTTATCACACTTTATTTGTGCTCCGTCAAAGACAAGGTGGAGGTGAGTGCAACCTGAGAACATTGGTGAGCAGCACGCCATCATCTGTCATCTGGGTATAACGGTTATAGAAGTGGTTCCCAAAGTGTGCGGCGTGGAGCTGTATGTACAGCTGACCTAGTCTATGTTTAGCATAGAGATATTGAAGCGTAGGATTTAGACTTAAATTTGACCTTTGACCTGTGAGCTCGAGGCCAACTTTGGTGTCTCTCAAATTTTAAAAACCATTATATTTATAGGTTTATATTTAAACTTGACCTTTACTGACTTTTGTAACACATGAACTTGACATTGAAGTTAATTATACGTAATATACGTCATGAGTTTACTCAGCCAAAATGTTTCAGGAACATGTGATGGCTAGAAATGTAAAATTCAAATGTAGCTTCAAAGTTTGTATTAACTTGGTGTGTGTTTTTCTCACAGAGTAAGAGTGTATGTGAAAAGGATTTGGCCGAGTAGTAACGTCAAGAGAAGTCACACCTTACGCAACAACAATTAAACATTGAACATTTATTGCAGTTTTGACTAAATGGTATTGAACTTCTGTAGTTTTATTTTCAACAGGACCTTTTGCATTTAAATAGTAACACTTTACATGCCTTCATCCAGTGACAATGAAAAGCTTTCTGAAAAAGTTTTTTTTCATCTTTTTTTATCATATTTCCCTTGTAAGAAATAGTTCAAGTATAAAATTCCCAACAGTGTAAAATAGCCCGTATGAAGCAGAGGAAGAAGCACGACTACTGAAAAAAACTATACATTCTGGTGGAAAAGGCAGCATTGTTGCTTTTTTTTTTTTTGTAAAAGTTATTAATATTTTATTCCTTCCATCTAAACACAGAGGAGGCAGAGATCATTCTGCAAGCAAACAGGACTGCGTTTAGATCAAGGATTTCTATACAACAGGCATGAAGTACTAGTACTCTAGAGGATCAAAGGAGATAAAAAATAAAATTACAGTGCACATCTTAAATAAGTTCTACATCAACATTTTGGTTGAGTATGTTAACAATAAGTATAATAATAATAATAGTAATGGCATTACTACTACTAATCAATAACTTATATAGTCTTGAGATGAGTACAACAAAGGTATTAATAATACAGTACCGCCTCTAGGTGTCTACTCTCAGAGCATCAACATCTTCAACCCTCAAAAAAATAAATATCTTAAATAGTAAATTCTTCTCTTCTGCATATTTTCTTCCTCTTAAATAGCAGAAAAAAACAACATAAGGCACACGGACCATTGTGGTGACCACTGGGGTACAGAAGCACAGAGGTGGAAGTGCTGACAGTGATAGGGCTCAATAGTTGGTGCAGGATGGGGGGGGCACTCAGCCATGGAGCGGGGGCAGTTTTGGGTGGAGAGGGGTGTAGAGCTGGTTCCCTAACAGGCCCAGTTGGGGATTAAAAAGTGACAGCTCAACAAATGAGCACAAGTGATGCGTTCTTTCCAGAGTGGTCCGTCTGTTCTGAGAGGACCAGCTCTGCTCACCCCCCCAGCAGCTGCTCGCTTTCCTCCCTCCTCTATCTCTCCGTTTCTGAGGCACAGAGAAACACCACTGTGCTGCCTTTGTCTGCAACTGCGATGTGTGCAACTCTGGACGCATGTGTCGGCGTAGGTGTGAGTGAAAACACGTGGAAAAAAAACAACTGATTTAGTGTTTCTCATTGTCTGGAGCTGTTTTCAGTGCCTTTGTTTTCTCTGCCAAGTCCACCATTAGTCCAAGAGTCAAGTCAGGGTTGGTGACTTTTTCTGTCTTTTTTTTTCTATGTGTTTTTCTCCTTTTTTGTCTTCTGGTGATTTGTTTGCTTTGCATAGGTCAAGAGGTTGAGATGCACAGTAAAAAAAAGGGACATTCAGCATCAGGAAGATAAAAAGATATAGTTCTTCAAATGTGTGACACAACGAGCTCTGACTCCTCCACTTCCTGACAGCGGTCACATCATAATAGCTAACATGTTGCAAAAAGTTCCATTTCCCTGATTATCAGAAAATATTAATTCCAAAAAAATGCATTTGAATAGAATAAAAACAAACAAAGAGAGCCCTCATAGTGTAATAACAACAATAATAATAATAAATATAAATGTTAAGAGGGCGTCAAATAACCAAAGGAGAACAGTTCTTCTTTACACTAACGTTAAAACAGCAATAGGACTTAGTTGAACACCTACATCCACCACAGGGATTAGTTCCTGCATTTGCTCTCTAGAAATAAGAACTATACTACAAATAAAATAATGGTAATAATTATAATAATAACTAAAGGAGTAGCAACAGTAAATGTAAATCACCTTATCATGTTTTGTTCTGCATTTTTTTTTCCATTTTCAAATATATTTTTTTTTGGTTTAAGCACAGCAAGTTGGAACGTTATGGTAAAACATTACCACCATTATCATCACTATTCTCATCACTATCACCATCACCGTCGTGATCACTGTCGTATTCGTAACGCCACTGCCTGTCGGAGTCACTGGGTGGCACGTCCACCGTTAAAGCCACTCCTGCTTCCTTTTGTCTTGGATCTGCCTCCTGATGCATCACTGGTGGCTGGGCGCAGGCCTCCTCTCTCTCAACGTCCTGCACTTGCAGCGGCTGCTATTGCATGCGGTCGGTCTGCAGCTGCTGAGGCTGGTACTGAGCGAAAGCAGCAGCTGCAGCGGCGGCAGAGCCCGGGGTGGCTGTGGCTAAAGGCTGCTGGACTGCATAGCCGTAGCCGGCGGTGGTCATGTATCCTGCAGCTGCAGGTGACGCGGCGTAGGGATACTGCTCGTACGCAGCGGCTGCTGCAGCACTGGCCGCTGCTGCAGAATATTGTGCGTAGGCGGCGCCGGTGTAGTCCAGGTAGGGGGATGAAGCAGTGGCTGGTGCAGCGGCTGCAGGCTGCACATGAGGGATGACCACACTGGGCTGCACAAAGGCCTGGGGGTACATATAGTGAGCCGGTATGCTGTGGAACAAATACAAGTATCATAAGGATTCATTTGATTCACCCACGCCTCCCCCCGTCACAAACTCCATAAAAGTCAACTCCATCACACTGCAGCCAAGCGTCCCAACCAAACCATCCAGCCCCCAAACCACGGCCCCAGTCACAAAGACCAGAGAAATACCTGCTAGTAGTGATTTCAACAATATAGGGTTGCCAAAATAGAAAACTTTCTGTAAGAATACAAGTAAAAGCTCAAGGAATATTCATTATCTTTTACATTCAGTTTGTGTATACTCTTCATTTCTACCCTTACATCAAGCAGATTCACTTTTTTATTCTTTTATTCTATTTGGACTTTGTATTTGTGACTATAGAGCCACGATGGCTGGTGGTGCTGCAGGGCATTCAGAGGTGGGGGCTTACGGAGGGAGTAGACAGAGGCGATGAGCCCAGAGAAGCATTGTGAAAATGTCACTGCCACTTTGACAGCTGGACAGTTTTCAAAAAAGCCCAAGCTGCTGGTCAGACCCCTCCCGTTTGCTGACAAAGAGCCGGGGAGGCAGCAGGGGGAGCTGGGACACGGCCCCGTACCCAGAGGGATGTTTCAATTAAATAAACAGTTGTGAACAATGTGGACATTCTACTCCCCATGACATAGCCTCACTCTGCCCTGCTACACTTTATGAGCTCTGGAAACTCAGTTCCACAGCAAGAGTCAGGGCAGAGATGATCACTACCAGACAAACTCTTTTTGTTGGAGGAAATCACAAAGACTTTAGATGATCGAGCTCCTCCACAGGTCAAATCAAGGTCAAACAAAGTCCGAGCATCTACGGTGATTGTAGTTGAAACGGTCTGTCAAACAAATGAAAATCAAACTAACAAAGGCGAGTGCATCGGTCGAGACAGTGGAGAGAGAATGATGCAGATAAAAAGTGAGAGGTTAAGGATCTACTGTGGCAACCCTATATCAGCCAACCCAACAACATACAGTGAGAAGCAGAAGGACAACAGTGGGACAGGAACAGAAGTGATGAAAGAGAGTGTGGAGAGATTTAGTGTGGCTTATGCACACACACACAAACACACACACACACATAAATTTGTACAAATGGGAAAATGCTCATGTGACAGTCAAAGTCTTCTGAGAGACACACTAATGAAGCTCAGCAGGCTGGGGCAGGTTTCCAGGACTACAATCAGTGTCTAAAACACTGACTGAAGAGAAAGAAAAAACACTTAATCAACATTTATCTGGTATAAAATCTGTCTGTGGACATTTCCTACAGCTCTAGAATCAGTCTCATGGGATCAGAATTCTCCTGATTCACATTTCCATAAACCTTCAGCCACGTCATTTTTCTACTGAGCACCTTCTGATTGACCGTGAAGGCTGCAGCTCAGACAGCGACAGTGATCTTTTCACTGCATAATATTTTTAAAAACAGCGGTATGCCAACGTGAAATCAAACTCAAGGCCATCAAAGTTGAACCTCTGCTTGTCTCTGATTTCTCCACCACTGAAGTAATAGAACAACAAAGCCTACGAGGAGGGTTTGGCCACCGTATGCTGAGTCGTACCGTACAGTGTGGTATATACCTTATAGATACTCATTAAAAAAGAAGGTTAAAATATGGAAATATTGAGAGGGGGGGGGGGGTTCAGAGCCACGCTGCGTTTTCCTACTCTGTGTGCACGACACAGGACTGTCATGTTCATGTCCATGTAACTCAAAGGTCATTAAAGGTTGGATCTAAATTAAGGTTCTCTCCCATCGTGTATGGCCTCCACTGACAGAGAGGACATGAGTAAAGGCTCCAGAGGATCTAATGGGAGTGAAGTGTGCTTGTTTCTCACACAGCTGTCTTGCTCTGACAGATTTACTCACAACACTTTTATCATTACTGATATTCTAGCACAGTCACTGATGGATCTGATGTCTATCGTTTCAATTATTTGTCCTCAGGCTACTTGGATGAACTCAGTTAGCACAACGTTTGGCAAAACAAAACCTTTAAACTAATATAGAAATTTGACTTCTTTTCTTCCAGAGCCTTCCCCTTGATATATTGTATCTTAGAAACTTCTTTTCTTCCAGAGCCTTCCCCTTTTCATTTTCAAGTCTATGTAACAGAAATATAATTTTTTGGCTATATTTTATTTATATATATATTCTTATATTTATTTTCTATAAATACAACTTAGAAATACAAAATATTAAAAACTAAAAAACCGGCTAGCTAAGCTTGCTTCTAGCAAGATTGAAGCTCCTTCTGGGTTGACCTTTATGCCCTTGGCTAACCTGTAGATATTTTACTCATTGTTTGATGCATGTTTTAAATCTATATCTATATAAGAGATCTTTGACCTTCTTTTTTACATGCAGAAGATAAAAAGTTAAAATGATGTATATTTATGAACCCATTCTGAACAACATTACACACAAATACACACACGCACACACAAATGTATACACAAAGCCTTATGCGACTGCAACATCAGCATTCAGGGCTTTGTGTGGCACAATAGATGCACTTGTTTTCCTTAACACCACGAGCCCATGTGACGGAGCTCGCAGAGAGAGAAAGAGAAAGGGAGAGAGATCCAGACATTTGTTTGTGTCACAGTGGAGACCTCGGTGCATTGAGCTGAGCTGAAAATGAGTGAGCGTGTGTGGACGGACAAAGCCACGAACACACAATGAGTGACACTGACACGACAAGGGCAAATATTCATACGCACGGCCAAATACACACACGAACACAAAGATGATACGACACCACAGATAACAAGCAACGAAGTGTGACACGTCTACACCACCACAAATCTTATATATTGTTGATTATTTTGATTTTTATGGTTAACTCCTCGTGTCCCAGGAAGATGCTGTAAGCACACACACACACACACACACACACACACACACACACAGATACAGACTCTCACACAAGCAGTTAATATTGAAAGGTGAGTGGAAAGTGAAAAGTGAAACAAAAAGGTATAAAACCCACACTGGAAATCCTCATTCACTCCAACAGAACAAAAACACATCTAAATAAACACCAAAGTCAACCACAAGCTAAAAGAAAAAAAACTAAAAAGATGGCACACTTCCCTAGAAATAGGGAAAACCAAAACCCACAATCCATTCACATTATCTTTTTTTTTAAAGACTAAATTCATGAAACCACACTGTTTTTCTGACAACACCACGTCATAACTGCACACAAAGCTCTAACCACTAGAAAACACTTTTTTCTTTTACAAAATCAAGTAAAACCAACGTACATGCATCTGTAATCACCATGTCTCTGAGCTCGTTTGTGTGTGAGAATGTGGCTACAGGTAATTCCTGATAATGACTGCAGTTAGCTTAACCCAGAGCCAGCCTGTCAGACCAGAGAAAGATAGATAACATTGAGTCAGGCTGAGTGTCCAACAGTGACTACTGGACACACACACACACACACACACACGCACACACACACAGAAAAAAACAGGCAAACCTAGAAAAGGCAGTTTGGCTGGATTAACTATATGGATGTATATATGAGCAGAAGGAACTAAACACAGACAAAGTCCACCTTCAATTATCAGCCATTACATTTAGTGGAAACCAAATAACTAAACTGGACTAAACTGACATTGTTTTTAAATAATTTTTGAACATTAAAAAATTACCTCCATTCACCTCATTATTCATACAGTTGAGATAATTAAAAACTTACCCATAAGGCCTTTGTATGAAGGCAGGGTGAATCTGGGGAACGCCAAATGTAAAACCTGAGGACATATAAAATGTGAAACAAAAATGTTTATTTTGTGCATCTGTGTCTGTGACACATTACCCAACAAATCCTGAGTTTTCCTACTGGTCATGAATGCACCCCAGCACCTAACCACCTAGAGGTGCAGTGCAGTACAACATAAAGGGCTCACCTAACACCATCATTTAAATTAATATCAAACCAGTCACTCACAATCCTCTGTTCTTCTTCACCACATACTATGATTGTTGTAGCTTTACAATGGACTAATGATACTGCCCCTAGTGGTGATACTAGTTTCTGATCTCAAACACAGTAGACTCACAATGATGACGTCTGATTTTGTTTAAAGATGATGAAAATGACTGATGAATGAACTGTAATAACTCGTTCCACTTCTACATCACTGTCTGTTACCTGGCTGCATCACTCGAGGTTTGGCTCCCAGGTAGGCCAGGTTGACGTTAGCTTTCCTGCCATCAATGATGGGGTTAGGGTCCTTGCAGGCCCGGTCTGCCGCTGAGCGATCTGCCATCGTCACCTGACGGGAAACAGATGCACGTTCATTAGTGATGTCACAACGAACTCAGTGAGAATTAAAGTTTTACAAAGATATATAAATTCATACTTATAACAAATACAAAACTGCATTTGTTTATTATTATTTTTTGAAAAATTCTTAT